AGCCTGTGGGCATCCCTCTCTCCAGCAGCATGCCCCTGCATACCATCCTGCAGCAGTGATGCTGCAGGCTCAAACCAAGGATTGCATCTGCCTTCCAGCCTCTAGCAGCCCCCCTTCCCCAGGCAAAGGGCCCAGCCTACCTTGCAGCTCTGCAACCTTGGTCATCGATGGATACTTCCATATAACCAGCTGATTCTGTGCAAAGCCATGGCCCGAAATGAACTCCTTGTAGTTTGTTGACCACAGGATAGAACAGACCTGAGAAGAGGCAGTAACACAGGTAAGACAAGCTGCTTGTGCTGATACTCACCAGCCACAGCTGAGCATGGAGCCCTCCTTTCCCATGCCTCTGGGCCTCAGGAGCCAGCAACTCTGTGTAGGTGTGCTGCCAGAAGGTGTGTGCTCCAAGCTGATAATTCACGTCTCACCTGGGAATGGGCATCCACAGTACTGAGGCAGGCGCCAGAACACACATTCCAGATGCGGATATGTCTGTCGCTTGTCCCACCTCCGGTGGCCAGAACGTTCATCTGCCATGGGCACCACGCCACAGCCTGGGAGAGAAGAGTTCATTCTACAACAGTGCAGGAGGCCACCCGGGCACAGCCAGTGCTGTCCTCTGCCTTGCCCACCCACGTGTGCCCGACGCAGCCCCGCGCTCACCTTGACAGCGCCCTGGTGCTGCGTGAAGGTCTGCACAGGAGTGACGTCTCCACCGCTCCCCTGGGTGCATGGCCAGACGTTCACCAGGTTGTCATTGCCACCACTGGCCAGGTAGCGGCCGTCTAGAGACCACTCGAGCCCGCACACCTCCTGCGTGTGGCCAGCAAGTGTGGCCACGTGGTGCTCGGCCACGCGGACGTCGTGGTGGTGGATGTGGCCGGTCCGTGCCCCGCTGTGGAGAGAAGAAAAGGCTTGCCTGGTCAGGCTGACACATTTTCACCCAAATCCATTTCTGTGTCGTTGCAAGACTGTCGTATCTGCCGCTGGATTTCAACCAGTGTTACCAGCATCACCGGTCTGTTGGTGTGAGTGAAGCAGCCACACAAGCTCTTCACAGCTTCAGAACAAGGGGCAAGACAGAAGAGAGGCTCTCTCTGCACAGTCCCAACAGAACAGGCTGAGTAAGAAACTCCTCTCTGCCATCCCTAACCCACACTGCTCACAGATCTAGGGACAGGAATCTGCAACAACTGGACACTGTCCTTGAGCCACCCACTGCTTTACCTGGAGAGGATGTAGCTGTTCCAGCTGAGGGATCCCACGCGGGCACAATGGCTGGTCATGTTTCGGAGGCGCTTCTGCTGCTGAACATCCCATAGCTAGGGAGGCAAAGCAATAAGTTCTCCAGAGGATGAGGAAACCCAGCCCCGTTGCTGTGCCCTAGGAACCTGGCATTCGGCCTTCTCAGTATGGGAGCAGAGAAAATTTGTATCTCGTGCCTGTGGTACAGAAGATAACTCCAGGTATCCAGAAAAGCCCCAAACCAAACTGCTTTGCATGCTGCAGTTGGCTGTGGACAGTTCTATCCCATAACCAGGCAAGAAAAGTTGGGTGCATTGCATCCTTCCTGTGCTAGCCAAACCTTTGTCCCCACGCCCCATAGCTCCATCAACCCCTGGACAACACATTTAATTTTACTCCTGCACTCACCTGGACCTCAGCATTACTTGTGCCAACAGCAAGGTAGTTTCCTTCTTTAATCCATGACAAAGAGGAAACATAAACATCTGGATGCTCTATCTGCAGCAGCTGGATAATCTCCCCAGTGACATCATTCCACAGATAAACAGAGTTGTCTAGAGCCACTGCCAGGAAGTTCCGGGAGCTCCAGTCAATGAGATTCAGATCTAGAATTTGGAAGAGCAACACAGGTCACACCGTGCTTACCTGGAGAGCCCTGCCCTTCACCAGTGCTGATGCCAGGTCTTCCCCCTGCACCAGCTGTGTGTGTGCACACATGGGCATATACACACACATGCAACTAAGGGGCAGCTAGTGGGGTCAGGTAACCCTGATCCAGGTCGCCTACACAGCACTCTGGACCACTGTTCCTATAAGGCTACACAGGGACGCTCCAGAAGTGGTCTGTGCTAGTCTGGGTGCATAAAATAACGTAAACAGCCCAGTTACACTGTCCTAGGAACTGCACTCCAGGGCAGAATGTTTTCGATGCCCAGCACTCCACACTGCAGCCTACTTACAGTAGTCATTGCGGATCTCCGGTGCATCCAGGATCCGGTCTGGCATGGAGGGAACATATCTGCTGTTCTTCCTGCTGGATCCAGGTGTCATTTTCTGACTGTAGAGCACTTTCAGGTTGTTCTGATAGCCTGTGTGCAGAGGGACAGATCTGTTGACCTGAGTTACTGTTTCCTTCCAACCTAGTGCTGCTCACCCAACTAGGAATCCCTTCCAGTGAAAATGAAGTTCTAAGAGAAGAGATCCACTCACAAGAGTGCAGTGTGCTAAGCACCTCTGGCAGTAGGAACTGCTGAACCAGGGTGAGCTACACTTCCTTCAGTCGCTAATTTAACAAACACTTGGGTTTTTGTATCCCATTATGTTTAGTTACAGTTCAGCTAGAAAGTGCACAGCAGAGAGTTTGAAGCTCTTGCAGACCTCAGGAAGGTTTGTTGCCTCCAGTATATGTGAAAGGCTGGCAGTTATTTCAGTTTTCCTAAAAAAATTCACTAAAACTGCTCTGCTACCCCTCAACCTTAGGAGGTTCCCCTGATTAGATCTCCCCAGTTGATTCCACTCACACGGACTCTGTGTAATACCTTCTGGAGCGTACTGTGGCTTTCCACTGAGGCGGAGGATCTTTGCCTCTTCTACATCAAAGCCATTCAGATTCACTGCCCAGGCTTTCTGTTGCTCCTACAGGGACAAACCACTCTCAGTGCAGTGCATTTGAAACACAAAGCCCACGCTGCAGTTCAGTTAAAACATACACCTAACCTCTCTTCTCCCAGAATCAGGAGGTGTACAAACAGTGCTGCAAGAGTCAGCCACAGGCATGTCAAAGCAGTTTTCCCTCAGACATTGGCACGCTGTCCTGCTCACATTTTCATACAGCACATTTTCATACAGTAGCAAATTCAGTGTCAGTGCCGGTGGGAAAAGCCACAGCCACAAGGGACCAAATGCTTCATAAACAGATTTCAGAAACACAGTGTAAAACATTCCAGAATTGCTCCCCACGTAGACATTGTCCTAGAATAGCTACCACCAGCAGTTTTACTGTGCATAGGCCCACAGCTTTGTGTTTTTGCAGCCTGCTATATTTTAAAGCCTTGTTAGCCAAAAGCTGAATTTTGCTACCAGAAGCAGCATAGGCTAGAGCAAGTGACAGGCTCTACAGCTTCCATCTCATACCAGGCCCCTGGAAGTAGACATGGCTAGGGCTTGTCAGCCACATGTGCCCACTGCATAGAAACTGCAGTTTATTTTTCTGCAAATGGGCAGGAAGGATTAAGTGTTTGGAAGTGGTTGTTGAGGCAATTGTGCCTTAGCAACATGCTCACCTTCTTGGTAGGGGATTCCTCAGCAGGGTCATTCTCTTTGGTTAGGAGGAAACTTGCCATGTCCATCTGCATAGTGCTGCGGTTGGGAATGTAGCGATCCCCTCCGGCCCTTGTTGGGGTGCTCTGGATTTTGGATCCAGATTTCCCTGCATTTACATACATAAATATTGTTTCACGGCTTTTTAACAGACTGTATTAGAGCTTTCACAAGAGCAAACCCAGCACTCTCCCACATCACACCCACCATTCAAGTCCCAGAGCAGCAGGGCCCTCAGACCTCGTGCCATTCAGTCACCACTAACTGGTATCTCCCACCCTGCCCCCCAAGCTCCTGATAGGGACTGCCAGGAGACAAGTTGGGTCTAGCGCAACAGTTCCAGAGATCACAGGTAAGGGGAAGGATACGAAAACAGTTACACCAAGGAAAGCTGTCAGCTGACGGTCCTGCCCGCACTTGTCCCAACGCACAGCTGTGCCAGCAAGCGGGCAGCCCAGCCCATCGCCTGCTGACCCGCCAGCCGCAGAGGGTACGCGGCACAGCCCACAGCCTCGTGGCTACGGGCAAGCAGCCCGGACTCGCCCACCTGGCCTCGGCCGCCGCTCACCGGGTGTCTTGGACGGCGTCTTGCTGGAGCTGTGGGAGCGATTGGCCGGCTTCATGGGCGACACGCCGAGGGGGCTGGGCCCGGGGCCGCTCTCCTTGGCCTTGCGCTGCCACCGCGCCGGCGGCGCGTTCGGGATCGGCGTGTCCAGCTTGAGCAGCCCCTGCAGGTCCGCCTCGAACAGGAACTGCGCCATGGTCCTGCGGGCGGGCGGCGTCAGCCGGGCCCACCGGGACCCCTCCCGGGCTGCAGCCCGCTCCGATGGGCCCTCCGCACCACCGGGACACCCCCCGGGCTGCAGCCCGCTCCGATGGGCCCTCCGCACCACCGGGACACCCCCCGCGCCTCTCCCCGACCGCTGCTCGGGGCCCTTTCCATCCTCCGACACCCCCTCCATCCTCTCCTCGGGGCCATTTCCATCCCCCCGACACCCCCTCCATCCTCTCCTCGGGGCCATTTCTATCTCCCCCGACACCCCCTCCATCCGCTCCTCGGGGCTCTTTCTGCTAACGGACATCCCCTCCGTCCCCTCGCCCGCTCCTGGGTGACCCCATCCCCACAGCCATGCCGCGGGCAGCCCCCTAGCCCCTCCGCTCCCTCACCGCCTCCGCGCCGCCGCCGCCGCTCTCCGGCCCCGCCCGCGCCGCGGCATTTTAAAGCGCGCGCGGACGCGGCCCCGGTTGGTCGCTTCAAACCCAACGGCCGCGCGCTGCCTGGCGACGGCCGCGCGCCGCAACGCCATTGGCTGAGCCGTTGGAGGGGGCGGGTGTAGAGGGGCGGGGCCATCGCGCCCCGGGGGGCGGGGCCAACTGGTTTGGGGGCGGGGCGACGGAAGGAGCAGCAGGCGGGTTGTTTGTGTAGGGACGCGCGTTTATGGCGGGGCGGGGGTGGGAGCGGGGGTGGCCGCGGCCCCCCGCGGCTCCCAGCCGCTCATGAGCAGGTAGGACTGGTTGGCGATGTCGGTGCTCGGCAGGTGGCCTCCAGCGTGCTCCGGCGGCGGGCCCGCCTCGCCCCGCGGGCCGGGCAGCACCTCCAGCAGGCAGGGCAGCACGGCCTCCTCCGGCGGCTGCTTGTCGAAGGCGCTGGCCTGGGGGGACACGGAGCGTCCTTCGAAGCTGCCCTTCGAGCTGACCCCGGCGGGGCTCAGCCCTGCCCCAGCCCCTCACCTGGCCGTGCTTGCCGCTCTCCTGGAGGAAGCTGCCCAGGGCACGGTGCAGGTCAGGGACGGGCGGCCAGAGTTTCTGCTTCACGTTGCTGGGTACGGGGAAGGGGACATCGAAGGCAAACCCCAGCCTTGGGGTGCCCTGACGCCCCCCTGCAGCGTGCCCAGGCCTGGTGCTGGACTCTCTGCCTGCCCCTGGCACAGCCCTTACCTGTAGAGGGAGGGGAAGGTGCACCGCAGCCCCAGGAGCACTGCAGTGAAGAGCAGCGGCACCACCGTAACGCTGGGGATGATCCAGCCTGCATCGGGGGAGGAGCGCCGGGGCTGTAGCCCTTCCCAGACCCGCCACCTCTGAGCCCTTCACAGCCCTGTCACCCTCTGCCCGCTGCTCCCCATCCCCTTTCCAGCACTGTCCATCTCCTGCCCCACGTGGCTCCTCTGGCTGTGGCCCCAAACACTGCCCTGTCCCTCACCTGCATCGGCCATGGCATCAACCACAACAGGCTCGGACCAGGCGCTCCAGCTGCCCTGGTACCACGGCCCCCTGGGCTGGGCCCGCACCTGGGCCTGGTAGCGGGTGCCCGGCCGGAGGTCCAGGACTTCTTTCCTGGCTGCCCGTGGGACCTGCAGGACCTGCAGAGAGGCAGGACTGCTGTGGGATGGCCAGAGGGGTGTGGGGCCATCCTGCCTGACCCCACGCAGGCCGTGTGTTGGCATTGGAGGTCTGCAGGGCTGCTCGGGGTGCCCTGGCCAGGCCCTACCTTCCAGTCCTGGCTGTTCTCCACGGCATAGCGGACCTGGTAGTCCAGCTGCTCTGCCAGCACCTCCAGGGGCGGGAGCCACTGCAGGCTCAGGCGGCCCTGCGACACTGTGGCCTGCACGAGCTGCGGGGCGTCTGTGAGCACTGTTGGTGTTGGGGACGGGGCTGTGTCGCTGACACGGAATGGGACATGGCACGCTGTGTCCCCTGAGCTGGGCATGGGCGAGGGCAGTGGCCGTGGTGGCACTGAGACTCACCGGCCTGGTGCAGCCAGAAGGGCTCCTTGAAGAAGCTGAGCGTGGGCGGCATCTGGGTCCGGGTGATGTTCACCAGGACAGAGATGGCGCTGTCAGCCCTGGGCTGGAAGGTGCAGGTGTGGGTGCCCTGTGTCCCCACGCTCAGCTCCTCGCACTGCTGCCATGCAGCTTCCCTGCGAGAGGAGCGGGGAGCCGGTCATTCCCACCATGGCATCCCCACAGCCACTACAGCCTTGCTCCTCCTGCACTTGCCTAGGAGAGCTACTGCTGCCTGTAGTCAGAGGTGCAGCGTGTCCAGGAGAGGTGGTGGGGAGGTACAAGGTTGATGGTGGCAGGGCAGGACAGAGCAGGGCATGAGTGGGTGGCACAGTGTGGGATGGTGGGACACAGCAGGACCACTGGTCCCTGGGATGTGCCTGCCCGAGTGCCACACGCCCACCATGCCCCTTACCGTGTGCCCGCCCCGCTTGGAGGTGGCCGGTAGAAGAGCTGGTGGGAGCTGCGGGGCTCTGCGGGGTCCCAGGTCCACTCGCAGCGCACGTTCTGCAGGTCAGGGGTGCTGCAGCGCAGCCCGATGTCTCCTGGGCAGGCGAGAGCCAGGGCAGGGAGAGGGGGGCTGCTTCCCCTTGGCCCCCCAAAACTTGGGTGCCGCACCTCGCCTCCCCCAGGACCCCCACCCCTCGCAGCCCGGGGCGCGGGTGCCTCCCCGCTGTTCCTGCCGGCAGAGGGGGTGGCTGCTCACCGGAGGAGCGGGGCGTCTCCGCAGCCACTGCCTGCGACCAGGGCCCCCAGACGCCATCCATGGAGGTGCCGTCGGGCTTGCTGCGCACCTGGATGTGGTACCTCGCCCCTGGCCGCAGGTCCCGGAGCACCACCCAGGTGTTGGCCTGGACCAGCCCCTGCGGGAGAGGGGCCAGGCTGAGGAGCAAGTGCAGCCCCCAAATCCCCATGCCCATCCTTGGCCCCTCTATGTACCTGCCCCGCTCCCGGGGAGGCTGTGGCTGGCCCTGCCCTGGGTGTTTGGGTGCTGACGGATGACTGGGTGGAGGGCTCCCCAGGGTGCTCCCCAGTGGGGTTCCACGTGGTGCTGCAGGGCATCCCCGGGGAGCTGGCAGGGCAGCACTGCACCTCGTAGAGGAAGAAGTTCGGGTAGTCGGCGAGCGGCGGCTGCCACGACACGCAGAGCTGCCCCGCAGCCCCAGCCCAGCGCGCCGAGATGTTCACTGGAGGGGCGATGAGACCTGCGGGGGACGTGCCAGCATGTTTGCCCTCCTGCTGCAGCCCCTGCCTGGGCAACCCCTGGTCCTGCCGGGGGATACCTGGAGGTTCCCCCCAGGCTGTCTCTGTGCCCAGCATGCAGGGCACAGGGTGTTGTCAGCCCCCGTGGCCAGCAGAAGGGCTGGGGACTGTCCTGGTGTCACCCAGGGTGTTACCCAGCAAGAGGGACTCACCCACCGCGTCCACGCTGAGCTCCCGCCAGTACTTTGTGTGGTTTGTGGCGGCATCCAGGACGCGGAGGTGGAGCTGGGTGAAGAGCCGCACGTCCTGGCTGGGGAAGACGCAGACATGCCGCTTCCCACCAGCCCCTCGGCGCCACGCGGAGACCACGCACGCCGTGGGCATCTCCCTGAGGAATGGAGAGCGGGGTCTTGCAGCACCTCATATGCCTCCTGCCTCGGGCCAATCTGGAGGAAAGGGGATGTGGGGCACAGCACCGAGGGACCTCAGTGTCACCGGCTCCTTTCCTGTGCCACCACCCACTGCAGGACACCGTCCCCATGGCACCGAGGGACAGCCAATGCCCCAGCCCTGCTGCAGGGTGTGCAGTGGCTGCTGTGTAGCTCCCGTGGGCTCCCCCTCATCTCTCCTTGCAGCTGGGAGCCACTGGGATGGCACAGATTGCTGTGGCACCCCGACCCTGCTGCTCTCTGTGCAGGCAAGGGGGAGGCTGGGCTGTGTCCCCACCACCTCCTACCTGCTATACCAGTAGTAGAAGTGGCACATCCCACTCGTTGCCTCCTCCTCCTCGTCCCAGAAGCAGGTGAGGTCCTCGAAGGAGCGGGAGAAACAGAGGATGTCCTCGGACACCTCTGCCAGCAGTGCAGCGTCTGGGAGGAGTGTGGGCATGAAGGAGCCCCTGGGCACAAACCCATCCCCATCCGACCCCCATCCTCCTGCCCCATGCCCGCTGGCCAGCTCGCCTCTGAGGCCAGGCTGTGTCGGCACCCGGGGCAGCCTGGGCATGGCCGTGGCACAGGTGCCCCAACCAGCTTGGCACGGCGGGGAGGGACAGGGCACACGTGCTGGCTGCTGGCTGGCCTGGGGTCCTGGCTGTGGCAGGGCTCACTACCCCCCACCGTGCCCCCCTCCTCAGTACGGGGGGTCCTTCAGGACAAACAAACATCCCGAAATAGCCCTGCGGTCGGAGAGGGGCTCAGGGCCCGGCGATCAGGGGGAAGCACCCCTGCCCTGCTCATGCCGGAAGGTGCAGGGAAGTGAGATAAGGAGGAGCAGCACCCCAGGGAGAGGGAAAGGGCCTCGGGGCTGGCGTGGGGGTGTGTGGTCCTGAGCAGGGGGGGATGCCCAAACCCCGGCCCAGGGACTGCTGGGGGCTGTGGGTTTCTCTGCCCCCCTTCAGCAAACCGCTCTCCCTGTAGTTGCATGGATGAATTGGAGCTTTGCATCCCGCAGGATTTCTGTCCCAAGCTTTGCTGGCACATGGGTACCTGCCTCTGTTGTCATGGAAAGGAGGACAGCCCCAGATGCAGATGTGTGATGCAGAGAGGTGGTCTTGCTGCCCCCAGAACTGCTCCAGCTCTCCCTTCTCCCCCTCTGCCTCCGCCCTGAGACCTGTCCAAGCCCTCTTCCTCCTCTTCTTCCTTCTGGCATGTACTGCCTTCCCCAGGAGCTGATCCAGTGCCTGGCTCTGCTCCGTGTGCTGAGGGCATCTGTTCTCTGCTGTGCACCCTCTACGCTACCAGTTGAGCCCACCCTGGGCCAAGAATAAGTCACAGTCCCCAAATGTCCCTGCCACCTTCTTGGTGTCCTTCTGCTCTCCCTGTCCCTGGTCTTGCTCTCGCTCCCCCAGCCCTGTTCCTCATTTCCCAGCCTTGTGTTGCCTTCCTCCCCCTACCCATTGTCCCATCTCCCCTACAGCCTCCTCCCATCTGTTCTTCCCTATTTGCCCAGCAGCTCAGTGGCACAGGGACCCATGGCACTGATGGAGGTCACACTGGCTCTGTGAGCTACCAGAGCATCTTTGCTGCACATAGGCCATGTCCTAGGCATAGTGGCCACCCAGCTCTGCAGCCCATGCCAGCCGTGCTCTGGCAGTGCTGCCGAACTCGGGCTCAGGACACAGCGATGTCACAGAGCCTGGGGGCAGAGAGGATGAGCCCAACCCCGACACTCCTCCCACTGTCCCTATGGGGGTGACTCCAAACGTGCTCTGAAGCCCACCCTGGCCAGACACCCAGGGTGGGTCTGGAGAGATGAGCAGATCAACAGGCTTTTGTTCAGTTAATGCTTCTTAATGGTGCTACGGAGGGTGTTAAGGGGGCTAAAGAGGGGCTCAAAGAAAGCGTGAGCAGCCCTGAAATGTGACAAAGTCGTGAAGTGGCTCTGCCAGGTGCAGTCAGCCAGGCTGGGGCCAGGTTGAGGATGCTTGGCAGGGCGAGATCCTGGCAAGGCTGGTGGGAGAGCACTGGGATTAGCCTGGCAGTGCCACTGCATTACTCGTGGTGCAGGGCTGAACCATGAGATGTTAACTTGAATTTCCCTCAAACCCTCATCATATCATAACTCCAAGAACATCTGATGAGCAGGCAGCCCCTGCTATCTGTGCAGGACTGGGAGCACCAGCCTGACATCCCCAAGAGGCTCTGGGGCTGCCAAATCCTGCTTGCAGAGAGCAGGGATGTTCCTTTACTCCAAGCACCTCAGGGTGCCCCACAGGTGAGAAGGGCACTCCATTGTCCACCCCAAACACCCCCCCGCACGCCCTCCTGGGATGCCCCTTCCCAATCCCACAGATTTTGGCTGCTGTGAGGTGCTCACTGCCCGCACCTGACATGCCAGCTCTTCTCTGGCCCATCCTTTGGGGGAGGAGATATCCGCAAGGACCTACCTTGGGATGTCACTGGCTCGGGCGCTGAGGGTGGGCTGCGGAGGCTGAGCAGGATGGCCGGGATCAGCGAGAGCAGCCAGCCCCAGCACAGACAGGCTGCCATCCTGCAGCCCCTGTGCCGGTGGCCACACGTGCCGTACTCAGCCCTTCCCAGCGCCCTGGGAGCTGCCGTGGCTCCTCCAGGCAGTACTTTTTTATCTGGGAAGTGGTGGCTGTGCAGCTCAGGAAGCCTGGCTGGGGGGCTCCCCCCACCTCATCGCCAGCACTTCCCTGTGCCTGAAACCACCACGCCGCAGCCCCTCTGCCGCCAGCCGCAGTGCCAAGGGAGACTGCTCCTATCAGATAGGGGCATGTCCTGCCCTTGTGGCTACCGGCGCGCCGGGAGGCTGGGGTAGGAAGAAAAACAACCCCGGAGAAACCAGGGAGGCCCCCGTGTGGGGCAGGGCAGGCTGTCAGGGGCTGCTGCCACGTGGGAGCACGGGACCCTCCGAAGGGTCACTGCTCTGGCTCCATCCTGTCCTGTGCCACCTGGCACCGCTGTGCCCTGGGTCTGCTCTGCCCCTGGCACCGTCCCTGTGGCTGTGCCGAGAGGAGAGCTGCAGGCATGGAGGGACTGGCAGAGCCCACACAGCTGCTGGTGGTGCTGGTGCAGGGGCAGAGCCACCATGGGGGGAGTCCTGCAGCCATGCTCAGCCTCGTGCCAATCCACCACTGCTGCCTGGCACGGGTGGCCAGAGGGTCTCCCACTCTGCCAGGGCACAGCACGGTGGCACAGCCTGGGGGGCACCATCCAGGGCACAAGAAGCCACTGAGCAGCCAGCACCAATCTGCCACAGCCAAATTTTGTCAAATCAGCCCCACTTCCTTTTCCATCTGGCTACGGGGCTGTGCCATCAGGGAGGCAACAAGCAGAAGGAGCCTTGGTGCGAGCAGGACTAATGACACTGCCTCAGACACCATGCCCAGCCGGCAGCAGAGGAGGGGCAGGGGCAGTGGCACATGTCAGGCTGTCTGTGAGGGTCAGTCCCCATCACTGCTTCACTGATCGCTCAGCACAGTGCTGGGCAGGGTGGGAAGGCTGTGGAGCTGCACAGCCCCAGTGGGGCCAGCCAGAGGAGCGGGGCCATCCCTGTGAGGAGCAGCCAACCAAGGGGAAAGTGCAGGAACAATTTCCAAGCATGCAAGAGGCAGCTGTGCAAAGGAAGGACATGGTCTGTTCTCCATATCCCTCGGGACAGGACCAAATCTTAAATTGTGTATGGGAGCGAAGATCTCAGTTGGATCATAAGAAAACCCATCTCCATGGCATGATGAGACCATGGCCTTTCCTGGGGATCATCAGAGGACTCCAGGGAGGACAGGTTTCTGAGGAGTGCCCACCACAGCAGCAGACCACTGGGCCCCGTATCCTGTTCCACAGTGCTGTCAGCAGGGCAGAGCTGGGTCCTCACCACCACTCCTCTGGATCCAGCTGCCTGTTGCATGGTGTTTATTGTCTGTAAGGCAGAGCTGACACCTCCGAAGGGTCACTGCAGAGCTGGAGGCTGTGCACAGACAAAGCCATCCCTTTGCACCCACTGGAGCGGCCCCATCCCACGTGTCAGTGATGCTCACAGCCCTGCTGGCACCACTTTAGGCCCAGAGCACACTGAGAGTTGCAGGGTGGGCAGATGCTGGGTTGCTGCTTCCCCCTCTTGCCTCAGAGCTTGAGCATTTGTGTCCATGGGCTCAGGCTCCTGAGAGCCCCTCTCCTGCCCACTCTGCTGCAAGCACCGTGCTGCTGCTTGTCCTTGGGGGCCACCCCAGCATGTCCCCCAGCAGCGTGGGGCTGTGTCGGTGCCTGATGCCACGGCAGTGTGGCCAGCACATGCTGCGTGGGCAGCCAGGGAGGAGGGGATGGCAGAGTCCTGCTGCAGGGAAGGTGCTCTTGGAAGGGGCACCAGCATTTGGCCACTTGGCCCTGGAGGGGGATGAGCAGCCCGTTGTCCCCACAGCACTGTCCCCACAGGCTGGTGCCAGCATCACCCCTCTGCACGGTGCCAGCGCAGCCTCACGCCTCCTCGGCCGTGGCATCGATCCCCGCATAGGTGAAGTTCTCAAACAGGGCCATGTTCACGTAGGCCTGTGGGGGAACACCAGTTAGGAGCCATTTGTGACACCGCCCCCACATACCTCCCGTCCCCACTGGCACACTCACAGGCACTGTGCCCTGAGGGGGAAGGCAAGAGGGCTCCCCACACCCAAAAAAGTGATGCTGGGGTTACCGCCACGCGTGGTGGGGGTCACACACGTTCTGCTGCTGGCTGTCCCCTCCTCTAGCCCAAGGGATGCTCCAGCACGTGGACAAGCCCAGCACGGGACGGGCATCTGCCACCACTCACCTTCCTGGCCTCCAGCATGCGGATGAGCTGCATGGAGATCTGGGCGAAGGGCGGGCGCTCGTAGGGGCGGTCGCGCCAGCACTGCCGCATCAGCTCGTACCTGGGGGCAGAGAGTTGGGGGTGGCTCAGAGTGCCCGGGGGCAGAGGGGAAAGAAAAGCTCTCTGTGGGAGATGGGGGGAAGCAGGCGGAACACTAAAGCCTGAGAAGGGTGTTTGGGATGTGAGCCCCCAGATCACCGCACAACGCAGAGGGAACCAGGCAGAAGCTACTGCAAGGTGGTGGGAGCCCCGTGGGGCAGTGGGGTCAGGGGGACGTGGGTGCCACCCTCAGCTGAGGCTTTGCCCACTTACACCTCGTCGTCGCAGTTACGCGGCTTCTCCATGCGGTAGCCCTGGGGCAGCTTCTCGTAGAGCTCGGCACATGTCATCCCGCAGTACGGCGTCCCCCCTGCAGCCAGAGACGCACAGATGAGGTGGGGACAGTCCCCAGGGTGTCCCCTCCAGGGCTCCAGGAGGACCACACCTACAGGGACCCGAGTGGAGGCAGGGAACAGAGAGAAGTCTTACCCAAGCTGACGATCTCCCAGAGCAGGACGCCGAATGACCACCTGAAAGGGCAGATGAGGCTGTCACAGTGCGCAGTTGAGCCCCACTGATGGGCACGGGGCAAAGCCCAGGGTGGAGTGGACAGCCATGGCTTGGGCTGAGCCAGCAGCTCCCCAGGGAGATGCATCAGCATCACCTCCTGCCCTTTCAGCACCCAGAGCAATAGCACTGCCAGGCTGAATGTGCCAGAGAGGGAAGGAGGCAGCCCCAGCCACACCCCAGCCCCGGCGCTCCCGCCCACAGGACTTACACGTCGCTCTTGGTGGTGTACACGCTGTAGTTCAGGGACTCGATGGCCATCCAGCGAACTGGCAGGCGGCCCTGGGGAAGCAGAGAGAGACTGTCAGGGGTGGGGGGATGCCCTGTGGATGGAGGGCAGCTGGTCCCAGAAGGGTAGGCCCTTCACACTGGTGGTGCGTGTCCTGCACACCATACTGGTGCAGACCCCATGGAGATGCTTCACTCCTGCCTCACCATTGTCTTCTTCACATAGACTTCCTCCCCTCTAGAGAGGCCAAAGTCAGCAATCTTGGAGGCCAGGTTTTCTCCCACCAGGATGTTTCTCGCTGCCAAGTCCCTGTGAATGAACTGAAAGGGGCCAGCAGTCAGCAGGAGCCACACGCTCCCTCCTGCCGGCCCCAGGGACCTCATGCCCTGATGGGGAGCCCTTGGGCGCAGGGGAAGGATGCTCTGGAGGGCTTGCTGGGGATGTACCTGCTTCTCACTCAGGTACTGCATCCCCTTGGCCACATCTGAAGCAAACTGGAGGAGCTGCTGGGAGGTGAGTGTGGAGGCAGTGCCGTGCTCCTTGGCAAAGGCTGGGTCTGTCTCCAAGACTCGGCTTTTGCGGAGGAAGTCGAGGAGGTTTCCGTAGGGAGCGTACTCGATGGCGATGTACAGGTAGCCTGAGGGGCAGAAGGAGGTTGGGCTACTGGGGCTCTTCTCAGAAAAGAGGAATACAATGCTGGGCAGAGGTCGTGGGGCTGGGGAGAGGGGGACAGCCCTCACCCTTGTTCTCGCAGGCACCCAGTAAGTTGATGATGTTGGGGTGATGGCCCAGTTTGCACAGCACCTCCAGCTCCCCAGCAAAGTCCCGATGGTCATTCTCTGAAGCAAACTCTGGAAGCAAAGAAGGGATGGACACCTCAGGCCTGCAACAAGCACCCTTCCTCTGCTTCTCTGCAAGTGACTCCTGACTCTACTCGGCATGAATATGGCCCAGGACACACCTGCATCCCTCAGCCCGTCCTGCTCATCTCCCCTGACACTCACCTTTCAGCATCTTGATGGCTGCATTCATTTTCAGGCCATCCTTTTTGATCATGGCCCTGATGACCTGCCCAAAGTTGCCCTCTCCGATCATGTCCTCAAACTTGATGTCTTCCCACTCCAGGATGGGGTAGCTGAGGGGCTCAGGCTGCGGCTTGGGCCGGCGTGTCAAGGTCAGGGTCCCCGAGTTGAACTGCAGGATGGTCTCTTCCCCCTGGCAGATGGGAGTGGGTGAGGTTAGAGGCACCGGGCACCCCTCTGCCCACGCGGCAGTCCCGGCAGGGCAGGAGTGCTGGGCAAGGGCGGGCTCCGCACCCTCTCTGTGTGGAAGTGAGGTCTGGCTGCATCTGGACTGGAGGCTGCGGAGCGTGACCTGGCCTGGGCTGGGACGTGGGGAGCGGGGGACACGGTCCTGGCGGGGCAGGCGGCACTCACCGAGCCAGACTGGTACGTAAAGGTGCGGCGCCGGTGGAAAAAGTTCTTCTTGATGAGGAAAAGAGCCAGGAGAGCAAAGAGGATGGTGAGGCAGGTGACAGACACGGAGCCAACGATGGCCAAGAGCAGCTGCTGGTCTATTCCTGCCTGCTCAGTGCTCTGGCTGCCCAGGCTGGGCGGCACGCTCAGCGCTCCTGCCAAAAGGAGGGATGGAGGGTTGTGGTCCCCGGTCGAGCCCTGCCCAGCCTGCACGAGTGGCCAAGCACCAAAACAGACATCTTCCAACACCCAGGCACGCCATGAAGATACCACAATCGCATCCTGAGCCCCTGCTGCCAAAGTGGCACAGGGAAGAGGGTGTCACTGCCCGAGCCCTGCCTCTGAACCACTGATTTCTGCACCTTCAACCAGC